CAATATCTAAAGATTCTGAGGAAGGATTTTTATCGTTCGGAATTGATGTTGCCTCAATTTGGGGTCTTTTCTAAGTTAAAACGCATAAAGTGAAAATCGGTGTGCATTTTAACGTTAGTTGTTTTTTTTACTAATAACTCCTCTTAACTTTCAGTATTTTCAAATAGTAAACTAAAACTTTACTTGATTAACAGTTGATTGTGTTTGATTTAATTCTTGAGTTTGTCTTAGTAAATTATTAATTGTTGTTTCATATTGTTCTTTATTATCTTGTAAATGTTGTTGACATTGATCAAAATGTAATTTCAATTGATTATATTCATCTTCTTTAGTTTTTAATATTTCTTTTGTTAATTTTAAATCATTTTTATTTCTATCACGTTGTTGTATTAATTTTAGTAAATTATCTTCTAATTTTAAACGAAATTCTTCATATTGTGTAATTTTATTTTCATAATTATTTATACGTGCTTGTAATAATTGTATATCTTGTTTTAAATTATTTTGATCATGACCAGTTTCTTTTTGAATAGATAATAATTCTTCTTTTTGATGATGATTTAATTCATTTAATTCTTTAATTTCATTTAAAAGTTTTTCTTCTTCATGTAAAAAATTTTCTTTTAATTCAATTTTTTCTTTTTTAATTTGTTCAATTGTATTTAATAAACTTTGATTTTCATTTTTAATTTGTTCAATTGTATTTAATAAATTTTGATTTTCATTTTCAAGTATTGAATAATTTTTTAATATTTCTTTTTGTTTTAGATTTAAATCATAATAATCATGTTTTAATTGTTCAAATTCTTTTTCAGTATATGCTAAACGATTATTAGCATCTTCTAAATAAGAAATCAAATATAAGAATACAATTATATTAATTTTGCAAGAATTCATAAAGTTTTGTTTTTAGAAAAAAATCGGATATAGAAACATTAGAATTTATGCAAGATTAATTAGTGTACCAATAGATAATAATATAATTATAAGCAGTGTGTATTCCTACATGTTTGAAAGGAAAGAAGTCCGTAGAGAAGCTTATTTTTTATGGTATTATAAATTATAATAGATAGAAATGTCTGCCGTAATTTATTGGACATAGGAAAAATTCTATAGAAATATCAACAATTGTTAATAATCGTACACAGTGATGGAATCGGTTCAGCTCTAAAAAACGTGAAACAATTCTATCTCTGATATCTTCTCAATGGATCAAGTAACCTGCCATGCTAAATTAATTGCTGAAATTTCAATCTATGATTTTCCACAGAGAAATATCGTAGGGAGTTCAGTCTTTCACATATCGAAAAAGCAAAGTCTGAGCTTCAGAAAATCTAGGAAAAAATATTTGAATGCAAAAAAAAACTCTTGTAATTTCTGTGGTCTTCAAACGTATCACTTGCATCACGCCTATTTCTTTTTCTATATCAAAAAACAATTGCTCTGATTATCTTTTGAATAACTTTTGATAGGAACAATATGGAAACCTGCGGTTTTCTCCATTCAACAGAGAAGAACCTGGGCCATTCAGATTTTTAAAAAGATGTTCTGAAGCCATTTTCTATTGGATTTTGACTTGAAATATAACCAATCGATATGAAAAATTCTTCTCTTTCGATCTACGGAGGTTTCAACTTTCTAGTATGTTCTGTTCAAGAGATCCCCGATTGTAGCATATTGTTCTTGAAAGACTTCAAACAAGCTCAAAACAGAAGTAATTCATCATGCTGAGTCGAATAGTAATGTTTGTTTTAAGTTTCAAAGCAATCTTGGACCAATATTTCAGTATGTTTGAAATTTCAAAAATTTCCCCTACACAGCATAAAAATCGAAATTTCAAAAATCTTAAAAAAGTAGTTTCAAGTCGCTTTCAAAACTGAAAATACACATCACTATTCGATTCATCATGATGAATTATCCCTGTCTTGAGCTCTTGTGAAGTCCCTCAAGGTCAATTTGCTGAAGCCGAAGGTTTTTAGAAATTCCTTGTAACTCTTGAATGAAATATGCTAGAAAGTTTGAGCTTGTGTAGATCTAAAGAGAAGCGTTCTTCCTATCGATTGGTTACATTCCAAATTAGAATCCAATGCAAAATGACTATAGAATATCTTTTTCAAAATCTTCAAAGAGAAATCACCTGATTGGTCGATTATTGATCAATCAGATTTCAGCATACATGGATGAATCAAGATCTTCTCTGTTGAATGGTGAAAACCCCAAGTCTCTACATTGTTTCTATCAAAAGTTATTCAAAAAATAGTTTAGGGCTATTGCTTTTTGAAAACGACATTAGAAGAGTGGTTGTCACTCTTTCAAATGGTGTATGATAAAGTATGTTTTGATCCACGTTACGATCGAAGCACTTTACAAGTTTTTTATTGATTTCAAAAACTAAGTAATTTGGCTTAATCAATAGTTTCTAGATGCTGAACAAATTTTTCTCGTTTTTCTAAAGCACATTTTGCTGAAACAACATGGAATGGCTCTACAAATTCAAATTAATTTGAACATTTACTAATACATATAATGCGCTTTATTTTTTCAAGAAAAAAAAAGCGAAGAAAAACCATATGTCGCAAGAGTTCTTTTAACGATATTTCATATCGAACTTTTTTCTCAGTTAAAAGTTAATTTCAGAAAATTTTTTCCCATGTTTTTTCGAAGTTCAGATTATACTCTTTCAATAAAGGAAAGGAAAGAACTTTCTACGATATTCCTAAGCAGATAAACGATATTAATTATTGAATACGATTTATTATTAAATCATAGAACTTACCATTAATTTTAAGTTTATCAATTTCATTATTTAATTCAATAGTTTGTTTTTCATGTTTAATTTTCATGGCTTCCATTTCTTGATAGAATTCTTTAGATTGTTGTTCTAAATCTTGATTATATTTAATTTTTAAATTTTCATTATCTTGTTCAAGTTTTTTTTGATTATTTTTATAAACTAAAACTTTTTCATTATATTCTTCTTCAAGTACTCGACGTAAATCATCTAATTTAGTTTTTAATTCAAAATCAAATTTTGTTTGTAATGTATCATTCATTGGATGTTTTTCTTCACTTATATCTAAACTAAAAATATATAACAACAAAAAAAAAATAAAATAAAATTTAATTTATTACCCATATAAAATTGTTTTGTTTTATCTAATTCAACAACATCTTCACGTAATTGTTCAAGCATTGTTTGTAATTCATGTTTTTCATATTCATATTTTTCTTCTAAATCGCCATAATTTTTTTTTAATTTTTCAATTTCATTTGTTAAATCTTTTATTTTTTCCATATGAATACTTGTAGTTATAACTGTTTCATTTGAACTACTACTACTACTACTACTGCTGCTACTACTAAGACTACGTTTTGATGAACCTTCATAATCTTGAATTTTACGTTGTAATTCTTCATTCAATTCACTAAGATGTTTTTCTTTCGATGCGAGTTCATCAATACGTTCTTTTAAACGAATATTTTCATTTACTAATGAGTTGTCTAATGGTACTTTTTCATTTCTATTATGATAATCAACTGGAGTATTATTTGTAGACAATATAGTATCATTAATTTTATGTTCATTTTCACCAAGACGTTCGCGCAATGTTCGAATTTCTGACTAAATTATAAACTCACAAAGAAAAAAAAATTTATTTTTAGAAATATGAAATACTACCCACCCATGTTATTACTACCATGGTAGATTCTTATTGTCACTGTTATAATCTTTTTTTTTTCGTTTTCTATTATCAGAGATAGACTCAAATCTTTTTTTTTTTTCTTTCTCTTTTGTTATCTTACACTCGTAGTGGGACATGAATGTTACAAAGAGACAAAACCTTTATGACAAACAAACATTCGCAGGCAAAATGATTTTTTCTTTTTTTGTTCGATAAATAAAAATAGTAAAAAGGTCAATGAAAAATAAAAACTATTTTAATTTGATAGAAATAATAAAAGTTCTATGTTGATCGACAAACAAAAGAGAATTCTACATATTGAATACAAAATTCGAATATGGAAAAAGAAAACTTCCAGAGATTTTTATTAATTTACAAAACTATGATAAGAACGGTAACTATATAAGAGCGAAGTTTGTGTAAATTTATATTTTTTAAAATTGTAATAACAAGTGGAAGCTTTTCTACATATAAAAATGATTTTATTTCTTTTTCGATCTTAAAGTGAGGTTTAAAAACATATAAGAACAAGTACAAACATTATAATCATTAATAATTTTCAAGTTATAACTAATTCTAATACTATAACTTAATTTTTCTATAAAAATAAATTCCATTCTTAAAGAGCTAAAATTTATTTGTGACATTCTATAAAATAAATATAACAAAAAAACATTTGTCCTAAGAAAAATATTTGCTTCACATTTATCTAATACAATATGAATTCATCAATATTCACTCATATTTTATTTAAATTATGAAACCATTTAAGCATTCAACATTCAGGTTTACAATATTAACTATAATAGAGATGTGCAGAGTACGGTTATATCTTATCCTATATCTTGGCTAGAGTTTGTCGGTTCCAAAAACTACCCGAAACCGTGATTCTAGCTCCAGTTACTAAAAAATGAGAAACAGCCGATTCCAGTTTTTTTGCAACCGCTGAACTCTAACCTTGACTGAAAAAAAAATTCTAACTCTTATTCTGTACATCTCTAAACTATTAATAACTTTTTCATAAGCTTTAGCTCGCTTTAATTAAATGGATTAACCAAGTTTCTTTTGTTTTTGTGACAGAAAACTATTTAAAATTTACTGAAGTTCATTTTGTAATTTATTGATTATATAAATTTTATGAAGTACTATATATGTACTCACAATGGCTGATTAAGATTTTTTTAAATCTTAATAAAACTACATTTCGATAAACATATGTGTAATTTTTTAGCATTTTGATTATCTTTAGTCATATTTGTTAATTGTTGTTTAATTTCTGTTTGATTAGATGATTCCAATGAGTTTGTGATAAATAAATCAAAATATTTTTTGTTGACAATCATGTAATTGTTCATTTAAATGATTAATTATTTCTATTCGTTCAGATAGAGCCTTGAAATTTATAGAAAATAAAATAATTTTTTTCTTAACGAAAATATATCTAGTAATTAATTTACTTTTTCGTTATTTTTATATATAACTTCTAATTGAATACGAAGTTCATTGATTTCAACATTCTAAATTGAAAAAAAATTCAAATTTTATAAATTATTCTTATTGTAAATAAAACCTTTTCTTGTAAATTTTGTTGAATATTTTGTAATTTTTCATTAAGAGATATTATCTCTTGTTCATAGTTTTCACGTATAGTAAATAAAACAAGTTCATAATCTTGTTGTGAATGTGCTGTTGATTCAAAATGTTCTTATTTTTTCACTTTTCGATGAAGATCATCCATCAACGATTCAGAATCGGAGGATTTCTTTTCAAACTATTCAATATAAGATATAATTAGAGGGACAAAAAATGTGAAACTTGATCAAGAAGAGTATTATATTTCGTAAGTTTCCATTGATTCACTTACTTAGTTAGAAAAATGTTTAACAAATTCAAAATACTGTCCTTCGTTAGTAGTTGATTATGATCATATTGGCCATAATAATGATGATTAAAGTTATATGACTATTCGTTACAGAATGAACTGATTTTTGAAACACAAAACCAAAGTTTCATTCCGATATAAACCCAAAAGTTTTGAGTCAATTTTGATGTTAGTATACATGTCTACTTCATTAGGTTTTTTTTTTATCGAATTAAGCTTCTTATTGTTTATTGATAGTTCATTTTCAGTATTGAACTTACGAGAGAACCTTCTGAGATTTTAAAATGCTTTCGACCCTATTGTTGATATGTTACTTAGAGAACTTCAGTTTTTCATTATAATCATACTTTCGAATTTCGACCAAAAATTTTGCACAAATATAGATTT